CTGGCTTGGCTCAGTGAGGAAGTGCCTGCCATGCATGGCCTGGGCACCTGGGCAAGGCAACTGTGGCTTGGGTAGGCTGGCTGGCAGTTTCCCCTACACAAGATGTTAATGTGACATTCAACCATATGGAGCCATAATAAATTTGTGCTACACAATTGACATTTCACTATATTCTTGCATAGCTATGCTTGCACAACATTTATTCACAACACTTTTCTCCATGTATTTCTGTCAGACTGTCCCATCCACTCTCTCCAAGTTGTTTTTTTAAAGCATTCCTAAAGAGTCTGCTAACTTTTAGAAGCCTCACTTAATTTAATGACCGTTGTTGCTTAAATCCCACACTCCTTTGTTCTAACTCCTCCCCAGCTCATCTGCAGACTTACCAATCACGCCAGACTCAGAAAGGATTTTGAACATCTTTGCTGTCCATGAAGAAGTACTGAGGGCTGTTGGCAGAGCCAGCCCTGTCAGGAAAGTTTTGCCAGGTCTATAGCCCTGTTTTCTCTTTGGAGTGGTCTTGGTTCTGAGGTTCAAGTACTCCTGTGGTCATCTCAAAGAAACACGAAGTTTTATTCACCCTTTTATAAATATGGCGACTACCTATGAAATTGGTTATATCTGTATGGCTACAAAGGAATGGAATTTCTCTTTGTCTTTAGTCTGCCATAACCTTCTTGAATACGTACTTAATAAATATTAAAAGAAACACAGTTTTATTAAGAAGGGGACTTTTGAGGATAAAGGGGAGATTTGTTTGGCTTTTCCCTGAAAAATTTATTTTCACAGATAAAAGTAAGTATCATTTACGGTTTTCTTCTTATGGGTTGACAGCTGTGGTCTGACTATGCACAGTTCTTCTAAATGGACTTACCACTTCCAGTCTTCACGACTAGTCTCATGTCCAGATTATTACAGATTAGGTTTTGAGATACAAATGCAGTACAAAACCCTTGGTAAAGTCATTTACCAATTCAGTTATGCCTCATCATAAATAGGACACCCTTTCTCTAGCTACAATTATGATAAAGCTTGAGGGGGACCTTAGCAGATTCCATGGCCGGCGAGGGTGACGGAGACCGAGGGACAAACATGCCAGGCAGACAGAGCTCAGTGAGTTTTACTAGAAGGGGGTGTGGGGGGGGGTAGAGGCAAAGAGACACAGAGACAGAGAGAGGACAGAAGAGAAGAGGGAGACAGGAAAAGTCCTGTCTGCCGCAGGAGGACACTAGAAAGAGAGGAGCAGGAAAGAGAAGAGGGCAGAAAGAGAGGAGCAGGAAAAAAAAAAAAAGCGCACAGAGGGCATTCTTTTAGAGGGGTCCTTTGCACCAGGGCTGACCAGGGTAGCAGGGAAAAAAAAAAAAAAAAAAACAACCATACAGAGGGCTTTCTTTTAAAGGGGTCCTTTGCACCAGGGCTGAGCAGAGTACTGCCTGAGTGCATTCTGCCAGGTGACAGGGGCAGGCCCCATAATGCCTGAATCCTTACAGCTACTGTTGAGAAACGTAGGGAAAAAAAAAAAGGAAGCCATCTCCATGCAGTGACACAAAACTTCGTCTGTCTTACAGACTCACTTAGGATTTCTAGGCGTGGCATCTCTTCTACACATCTGCCTTCCTTATTTGTACCTGACTCAGATGAAAATATGTATCAATCATATATAACATTCCATGCCTAATGCTTCTTGGCCTTCAAAAAGTTCAAGATTGAGTTAATATTAAATTATTTTAATGCTTACAGTCAGATCCCTTTAAGTGCATCCACATTAATCAGGTTAAATAGTAAACATGGGTTTCTGATCTGAGTTACCTTGTTAACCCCCATAGAATATGGTAAAACCATAAATAACCTATTAACACTGATCATAACTTTCATGACTTATTTTAAATTTCAAAAATGTGTGAAGGTACCAGCCAGGAAGTCATGCATTTTAGGAACAACCAAGTAAAAACCCCATATATATTATTTGCTGTCAATGATTAGGTGATTTTTTTCAGTATATGAAAAATATCTGGCCTTATGCAATGCTGAAATATTAAACCAAGATCTACAACACAAACCAAAATAAATTCCTCTGTAAACAAGAGAGGCTCAGATTTTCCTGTGATTAATAGTTAGCCACTACAGATACTTCTTAAGATGTTTAGATGTTTACTAAGCATTAATGAAAAAAACTTAAATTTTTATTATTGTGTTTCTTTTACAAAATGGGAAAGGTATTCATTTTACTTTACATGTAAATATTGCATGTAAAGACATGCAAGCCAAAGCCTGCTCAAAAAAAATAAATAACTGCTAGTAGGTGGTTGGAAACATTGCTCATGCTTTAGGAGGGTGCTCCAACTCCTCCTGAAGCCCAGCACTTATGTGGGGTGGCTCCAAGGCATCCTCTGGCCTCTGCAGGGAGAATGCTGACTCCTCAGGGCTCTGATCCCTGATGCACAGAGCTGTATTGTGGGGCTTCCGGTTCGTGCTGGGCTCTGCCTTTCCTGCTTCCCAAGAGCCCAGGTTCAGGGGCCACGAGCTGCTACCGTTTGCACCAACTGCCAACACTGTGGCAAAGCCAGCGGCCACACCATGTTGCCTTTGTTCCTGGTCCTCTCATGCCTGGGCCAACTGATCATTGCAGGCCAGGGTAAGTGAAGACGCTCTGGGCAAGGGACCACCTGTCCACAGGCCACCTGCCATGCTGGCTTCAAGAGTTGCTCTCGGGAGGTGCAGAACAAGGGCTAATGAAGGTGCCCAGAGCCCACCCAGTTCCAGGGTCCAGGGGCCCATCTTTGCCTGGTGGTTGGAGGATTCAGCCCAAAGACCGTTGACCCTCATTTGCTGACTTTCTACAATCAGGAGGACATCTGCAAAGTGGGAGGAGAGGGAGATGGAGAGGGAGCGGGATAGACAGAGTCCTTCAAGTCCCAAGGAGGAGAGCTCAGCCAAGGCAGGGTACTTACTGCTGCGCTGGGGAATACTAACTGTGTCCCTCTCGGCAGAGTCTGAAACACCATTTCTGCAGATCACAGTGCCACAGAAAATCGAGAGCAACATCAAGGATGCCAAGGCAGCCGAAGCGCAGGTAATTAAGAAACCGGATTTGTGGAAAATGATGGGTGTTTATTTGCACTCCACTTCTGGCCCACAGCAGTGAATTCCTACATGGCCTCTTTAAAATTCTGTTCATGACTCATTTAGGAAGGTAAAGACTCATGGTCTGAGGGAGGGCAAAATGTCTCAGTTTTCTTTCATTTTCCAAGTAGTGTGTGAACATTGCACAACTGTTTTATGAGAGACTTAAACGCTCTAGCTTCCAGTAACACTACTATAACACACTAATTATATATCCTTATACTTATATGAGACTGCACTAAATTTCACCTTATTTAATGATTTTTAAACTGACAACATAAAAATCTCCAGGCCTATAAATGCACACACATGTAAATCTCTTGGAAAACAAAACAGTGAATTATAAAAGTCATAACATTATTCTAAGCAATACGGAGGTGTTTAAAATGAGTGTCCACATGAATCTGAGGTACTAATTTTAAACAATTGAATATTTAATCACATACATTTTTGAATGTATATGTCAGTATTGTTTTTCCACCTCTCCATTGCTACCTCATATGTGAGCATTTTCACAGAACCATTACCACAGGACTGATTAAAAAAACAGTTAACAATTTTTGGCCAAGTAGATGAGAATTTTTTCAGTTCTTTCCAAGTAGACAATTGTTTCCTACAAAGTTGATCATCATCATCATCATTCCACATTGTCTTCAAACCTTTTTACAGTCTTTCTGCTTTTGCTATTCAGAAACAGCTATTTTAATTTAATATATGAGTGTCATCTTGCCAGCCTCTTGGAATTTGTCAGTAGATAATATTCAATCTACAACTCAATAATATTTCACATTCCTAGCCATGAACTTAGCATTTTAATGGTATTTTTATTTAGTCTTTGGAGGTTTCATAAATGTATATGATAATATGTTGATCATATCTAACCCCATCCCCCTCCCTTCTCAGCTCCCTGTGGTCCACACCATAACTTCCTTTAAGTGTTTAAATTGATTGTCAAACAAGATTTATGTATATTTTGTCTGTGTATCATGCATGTGTGTCCTTTGCACCTGTCTGTGGGTTTCATGATAAAATTTCACCATATCATCTTATTCTCTCAGGCTATAGTAACTGGAATTATAAAATTTCTTTTCCAATTGTTTGTTATCCAGTTTATAGGAATAAAAATGTCCCCTGTAGAGTTAATTGAATATATCAATCTTGCAAATAATGGCAGTGACCATTTACAATGTGGGTACATTTTATGGCTTCTTTTGAGTGTCTGTGGTTCTGGTGTTAATTTGTAGTAGAAGACATTTGTATTTTATTTGTTACCCCTTTAGGTTCAATGATGACAGTAATAGGGTAATAGGTAACAGTATAGGTGATGACAGTAATAGGTGAGATATATTTTAACTTAAAGCTTTGGAGTTTTTTTGTGTGTGTCATTTTGCTAATTAAATAGCAAAGTGAGGAGGGAATCTGGAATGGAGGAATAAAGCATAAATTGGAAAGGATATATTTGTTCTAGAAGCATGAGAAATGGTAGAGACTATATTGTGGAGTCATTTCAATTTTGGGACATATAGGCTACAATGTCTGGTCTTACATAATATGAATATACACAAATCTTAGCTTGTTACTTTTAAGGAGTTGATATTTTTAATAATGGCTTTCTCTCTCTCTCTCTCTGGACAATTTGCCACAGGTCTCTTACTTGGTCAGAATTGAGGGCAAAGCATACACGTTCCATCTTGAAAAACAGTAAGTGCTCACTCTACCACAGAGCTGTTTCTGGTTGACCTTCTTCAACCATTCATCAAGCTGAGCGTAAATACCCCATTTACTTGCTTTATCTTCTTTAATATTCATGTGGAACTGAGACTTTAAATTCAATAATCTAAGTTCTAACTTAATGATGTCTTAAGCACATGAGATGAATGAAAATTGCCAAAGTCCGTAAAGCATGCAGTCATGCAAGCTATAGTTGTTACCTGCCCATGTGTAACTTTGCACCCGCATACGTTGTTTTGCATAGTTATGGGTTTTCAAGCATCTTACTTAGTACACTACACATGCCTGAGAAAAATGGAGACCAACCAGAAACATATCACTGCCTAGGAAACCAGGTAGACCTTGTAAACACTAAAGTGCAGCTTAAATTGCAAACAGTCAGAACTTGCCTAGGTCATTGATTAAAGAGAATGAAAACTTGACTTATCAAAAACAGTGAGCAGACATCAATTGTATGGTCATGGACTTCACAGGGGTAAAGCAGAATGCACCCTACAGCTGTAGCTAATGAAGCACTGCATTCTCACTATCTGTGTCCCTTGCTTCTCCAGGAGCAGCTCCCTTCCAGGCCCAGCTCCCTCCCCTAGCTGCTGCTCCAGCACCAGCTCTGCCCCATGCCCACCTCTGCCTTATGTTCCCTGCTCATATGCTGTTGTTTCTTGATGACAGACTGCATTTCTGTTATGCTCAAATGGTTTTGCCAACCCACCACTGTGTCTCTGCCATTTTGCTCCAATGTATATTCTTGACTTCCCCCTTTCTCCATTAATGATAGACAGTGATGTGGAAATACAGGCCAAATAAACCCTTTTATCCTCAAGTGGGCTTTGATCAGTGTTTTATCAAAGCAACAAAAACAACAGCAACAACAGAAAACAAACTAGGAAAAGGCCCCACTCTCAGTAGGCTAGCTACCATATTCCAGTAGCTCTAGGGACAGAAGGCTGGGCATAAGCACATGGTCTCTGGGGAGCACTGCTGATGCAAACAACCTGGTTAATGCTTCTAGAGTAGTTTCAATGGTTTTTATTCATCCTGGAGCCTACAAATTAAGTTGCTTATATGTGACTCTGATACTTAGTTTGGACAAAGAGAAGTTGTGTCTGTTTTTATGCCAGTGCCATACCGTTTTCATTACTATAGCTCTGTGGTGTCACTTAAAGTCTGGGATGTTGTTACCTCCAGCAGGGTTTTGTCTGTTGGACTTTTTAATTGTTCAGGATTGTTTTGGCTATCCTGGGTCTTTTGTCTTTCCATATAAAATTTAAGATTGTGTTTTTCAATTTCTGTGAAAAATTGTGTTGGAATTTTAAGGGAGATTATATTGAACCTGTAAATTTCTTTTGGTATGGTGATCATTTTTAGTATATTAATCCTACCAACCCATGAGCATGAGAGGTCTTTCTATTTTCTGATATTGTTTTCCATATTTTGTCAATGTCTTAATTTCCCATTGTACAAGTCTTTCTCTCCTTTGTTTAGATTTATTCACAGATTTTTTTGAGGCTACTGTTAATGGTCTTGCTTCTCTGATTAATTCTTGGTGCCATTTGTTTATAGGAAGGGTGTGTGTGTGTGTGTGTGTGTGTACACGTGTTTGTTTTGTATCCTGCTAATGTGATTCTGTTTACTAGCTATGAAGGTTTTCCAGTGGTAACCTTTGAGTCTTTTATTTATACAATTGTAGCATCTGAAAATAAAGCTACCTTTATGTCTTCCTTTCTAATTTGTAACCCTTCATCTCCTTCAGTAGTCTTACTGCTCTAGCTATGGATATAAGTACTGTATTGATCACTGATAGAGAGAGTGGGCATCCTTGTCTTATGTCTAATTTTTGGAAATGTTTTGTGTTTTCCTCCATTTAGCAAGATGTCAGCGGTGGACTTGTTGTAAATGGTCTTTATTGTACAGAGATGTGTCTCCTGTATCCCTAGAGTCCCCAGAACTTTTATCACAAAGAGAGGTTTTATTTAATCAAATTCCTTCCTATGTCTAATGAGATGGTTTCAGTCTACTTATGTGGTGGTTTATGTCTATTGATTGATGTTTGTTGAATCATCCTTTGATCTCTGATAAAAGCCAACTTGTTCATAATGGGTAATCTTTCTCTGTATTTTTGAATTGGGTTTCCACATATTTTACTGAGAAATTTTACATCCAGTTTTATCAGAGGCCCATAATTTTCTTTTTGTGTTGGATCATTCCATGTCAACTTTGGTATCAGGGTAATACTGATTTCATAAAATAATTCAGAAACATTCCTTCATTTTCTATTTTGTGGAGTAATTTGAGGAGTATTGCCATTAGTTCTTCTATGGAGGTCTGGAAGATTTCTGCACTGAATCCATCTGGCTCCCGGGGTTTTTTGATTTTTGTTTTTAATTTTGGAGGTTTTTAATTATTGTTTCTATCTCATTGAATGTTATGGGACTAAATCTAGAATTAGCTTTTGCAGGCTGCATATATTCAGAAATGCAAATCTTTTATATTTCCAGTTTGGTATTGAGATCCAGTGGCACAATTGGCTAGCAAGGTACTTAGATTTTTAAAAGTGTGTTCTTAAGGTGCTCTGAATTTCCTCAGTGTCATAATGTATCCCATATCATCTTCCATTTTATTATTTGGATACTTTCTCTCTTTATTAGGTTAAATTGGCCAAATGTTTGTCAATCTTGTTAATCTTTTCAAAGACGAAGTTCTTCATGTCACTAATTTTTGTAGTATCTTCTGTATTTATAGTTCATTAATTTCAACCCTGGTTTTGATTATCTTTTCCCATCTGGTTTGGGGGTATTACTTGTCCTTATAATTCCAAGGCCTTCAGGTGTAATCATTCAGTTCTTAAGGATCTCTCAGATTCTCAATGCAGGCCCTTACTGTTCTTAACTTACTTGTAGGACTGCCTCTATGTTCCATAGAATTTCTAACATTTTTCTTTTTCATTTGCCACTTTTAGGAATTTCCTAATTTCCCTGTTGACTTCTTTCTTGGCTCAGTGAGTCAGTAGTCTGTTGCACAGTGTCCATGAGTTTGTGTGCTTTCTCTAGTTTCTGTTGTTGGTGTCCAGTTTCACTCCTTTGTGACCCAATAGGATGAGGGATGCCAACTCCATTTTCCTGTATTTGTTAAAACTGGCTTTCCTTTCTACTGTGTGGTTCATTTTGGAGAAAGTCCTGTTGGCTGCTTAGAAGAATGTATATCCTTTAGTGTCTGGGTGGGATGGTCTGTAGATGTCTGCTGTGTTTATCTGGTGAGGGCCCCAACATAAGCCCATACTCCAAGAGCTATCTGGTGTTTGACAGAGAGGCCAACCATGCACTTTGGAGCAAAGGCATCATCTTTACCAAACATTACCAGTAAAATTGGATGGCTGCATGTAGAAGAATGAACTAAAGTCTTTCTAAGCCCACAGAAAATTCAACTCCAAATGGCTTTAAGACTTCCGTATAAGACTGATACCCTGAATCTGATAGAAGGACAAGTAGGGAATATATCTGAACTCAATAGGAGCAGACTTTCTGAACAGAATATAAATAGTTGGAAGAATTAAAACCAACAGCTAATGAAAGGGAACTTCATGAACCCAAAGTTTCTGTACAACAAAGAACACTGTCACTGGAGTGGAAAGGAGGCCTACAGAATGGGAAATAAATATTTAGCAGCTACATATCTAACTGAAAATTAGTAAGTAGGATATATAAAGAACTAAAACAACTAAGCAAGCAAAAAAGCTAAACATCAAGGAAGCATACAGTTTAAAAATGGGGCATGGAACTAAAGAGATTTCTAAAAAGATGAAATAGAAATTAGTGTTAAGAATTTTGAGATGGTTTGTGATTTTATGAAAAACATTTGATGCTTATTTATGATTAACCCATTATATACTATACTATAATGTACTCATTATCGAACACTAAAGTTATTAAATCATGAGATTTATTTGTGGTTAATATAAACTAAAACTTATATGAGAAGATGTTTGTATGTATCTAATATACCATTAGAAAACAAGCTAGATAATGAAAAGACAAGTCTATTTAATTTTCAGATATTTTGGTTTATAAGATTTACACTTTAGTTTACTTATTCTGAAAGTTTTTGTTGTTAATGAACTACTAAACCTGTATATTGTTATTAATGATGTATTACAATGAAATGTCATTATTTTGGTTGAAATAGGTCATTTTTACATCCACGTTTTATGGCATATTTGAATACCAAGTCAGGAACATTGCAAACAGACACTTTTTTAGTAAAGGTAAGCTTAGACTTGTGCTGTGTTGACTTGTGTGTGTGTGTGTGTGTGTGTGTGTGTGTGTGTGTTGGGGCGTGTAAGTGGTGGTTTCCCCTTATACATTCATAGTTTTTAATTTAGAAATCGTTACGCATACATTTATATATAGATTGGATATGATTCTACACATGTATGGATTCACACTATGTTACCTTTAGAAATTGGTTTTTGCATTTTACATTTATTTTTAAGTAAGTATTATTGTATCACTTGACCCCTGTCCATTCCCACTTCCAACCTTTCTCCTGCCTCTTCCTTCCAACTGTGGCGATAATGACAAGGTATCGTGGAGGAGCCTAGGCTGGTGGCAAAAATCACAATCCCCCTGCCTCCACTCTTCAGTGCTGGAATTCCAGGTTTGCGGTTATCATGAACAACTTGGATTCATTATTTACAAAGTAGGTGTAAGGTGCTGCTGTTGGAAAGACAAAGAAACACTTTTGAATCTACAGTGCTGAGGTTAAACAGATCCCAAATCCAAAGCCCCCGTTTGAACTGCTAGGAAAGCACGCTGAATAAGATGACTGCCCTGGGACTCTGAAATCCCTTATCTGAAAGTACAATTAAACCTTGTCTGAAGTCATCAGGAGGAGGAAAAGAAAAGGCAGGTTGAGGCATCAGACACACACAAGGCTGGGAATGCTGTCCCAAGGGCCTGAACAGTGAGAGGGGACGGTGGGAAAATGGTGAGAGGAGACTCCAGAGGCTGACTGCATACAGACCAACACTGGAGGATGATGGGTCAGGGGAAATGAGGTAGCAATCATTTATTCTCTGATGGAAACAGTGGGCTAGCTCATAAGGGATTCAAAAACAACCCCAGGGCTAAAGACCTTCCAGCACATTGCAAAACACAAGCTGAAGGGGCGGCGACTAGATATCTGCATGATACGATTAATTTTGATAAGCATTTATCAATTGTACATATTAACAGGGCCTAGTGTGGTTTTTCCACACGTGTATATCATATCATGTGCAATGAATGAAAACTACTAAACATCGAAAACACAACAACAGAATCTTCTGGAGCATCACCATCCAAGATTTCAAGTTATACTGTAGAGCTACTGAACTAAAAACAGTATGGCACTGGCATAAACACAGAGAACCTCTCAGCAGGCTCCAGTGTAGGTATTTCTGCTGGCCCCTGAGCTAAATGGTATGGTATGCTGCATGGCTCATGTGAGGCTCCTGGGACAGACAGGATTGTCCCTGGTTTTCCTCTTGTTAATTGCTGACCTCGTGCTTCGCTGTCTCACTTCTGTCTGAGTGACTTTTCCTTTGTAGGTATTGGGTGACATCTTACAGGAAGGTACAGTCAGAGATCCCTCGGAACTCTTTTTCTCCCGTGGTTAATAGTGAGTCGGGACCTGGATTACTTCTTTGGGAAGGGCTGTTGGTATCTCTTGAGGAGTAGGCTGCTGTTCCTTTTTGCTTCACATGCGCAGTAGTGCAGATCTCCCTGTCTGGGCAAAGTCCTGGAGTGTGAGTACATTGGGCGTCATGCTGAAGGTGTATGTTGGGATTATATGGGTTCTGATGACTGCCCTTGTGTCTGTATCCAGTCTATTACTCCAGTTGTTGGTGATGAGGTTTGGAATGGGGTTTATACCATGCTAAATGGAGATCTATACCTGGATGTGTTAATATATAGACAGAGTTGAAGGAGTCATCCAGTTGGAAGTGAAGTTTTACAGTGATAGGAACAAAAAGGTCCTGGAAATCACTACGATGTAGACTTAGGAGGAAGGGATTGTGGGGAAGTCTGGGGATCACTAACACTGATAAAGTCAAAGGGGAAGAGTGTTAACTACTGATGATTTATTACCTTCCTAGTGAGATATTAAGATAAAGCAAGGTGGACAAATGGCACCTAAATAGTTATGGATTTGCAAGATATGAATTTGAGGCTCCATGAGAAAAGCACCTCATGATGACCTGAGTTCCATCCCCTGGTCCCACATGGAAGAAGGAGAAAAGTGACCTCTGGTTGTCCACTGTGACAGGTGCACACAGACATGCAAAATAAATACTTCAAAAAACCCTTCTTGCATTCTTGCATGACTCAGAAAAATTGAATGCAAATGTTCATAATTGAACCCAGCCAAATGCTATAAATCATAAGCTAGTGTGTACAAACTATACTCCTAGGCAATCTTGCTAAAAAGGAAAAGATACCGTTAAATAGGGTAAGTAGTGGTAAAAAAAATTAAGGTTATAGCAACAATTTAGAGAGGAAAGTGATGAGGAGTGAAACATAGGAAGGCACTGAGGATGCATGTTCAGGAGAGGAGAGGGACTCTGGACATGGACACACAATGCAATGGCTGATCGTGGATGTTTGCTGACGTCAGGAAGCGGGCATGACCCCGAAGGCGTCCCGTGGGGATCAGCTATGATATTTCTTCTGTTCCTTCTTAGGCTCATTGCTTTTATCAAGGACACGCTGCCGAGATCCCAGCATCAACGGTGACCCTCAGCACTTGCTCAGGTCTCAGGTACCACTCTGGAAGTGTGAACTAAGATTGTATGTCAACCCTCAGTTTCTACCATCTTCTGTGAGAACAAATGAGGCAAAAACAGAGAAAGAAAACAGAAAAAAAAAAGAATACAGAGCTGTTGACAGTGGTGGCTGTGTTTGTACACCTCCTTTACTCCCATCTCTCTCTCTCTTGTCCTTTCATGTGCTTTTTAAAGGCCTTTTTGCCTTTTGCCATCATAAATCTTAAGCAGAAAAAGCTCCCATGAGCAGGGAGAGAATTCATATTTTCTATTCACATCAGACCACAATTTTTCTTAAATGCCGTAATGGAGGGAGGATAGGTATTGTTGTAATTTAAGAAAAGTATCCAAGACAAAGATGCCATGAGACAGGGTTCAAGCAAAGGGGTTTTTTAGGTTTTTTATTTTTTTTTAGGGAAAGGTAGCATAAAAAGGGTAAAGGGGAGGGGGAGACAGGCCTCAGGAGACAGGAGCAGCAGGAGAGAGGAAAGAGGGACAGAAGGAGAGGGAGAGGGGGAGAGACAGCAGAACATAGAGAGGGAGAGAGAGAGAGAGAAAAACAAAAGAGAAAGAGAGAGAGAGAGAGAGAGAGAGAGAGAGAGAGAGAGAGAGAGAGAGAGAAAGGATAGGTGGTGGTCAGGGCCATTTTAAAAGGGAAAATAATGAATGTGCACAGGTGGTGTTCTTAGTGGCTGAAGCTGAGGGTGTATCCTGTCACAACCCCAAGGACAGGCCAGTACAGATGCCTGAATACTAACAGGTATAACATTGGGCGTGAAACTCAATAGATAAAGAATTTATAGAAGATACTTTTAGCATGATTTCTCAGTGGGAAGCCTATACTAAATGTGCTTTATTTTCTGTAAATGTTTAGGGGCTTGTTGCAGTTAGAGAACATCACTTATGGAATTGAGCCATTAGAGTCTTCAGCTACATTTGAACACATGATTTATCAAATAAAGAATAATAACATTGATTATTCCCCCTTAAGAGATAATTTAAATTCCCAGCATGAAAGTCAGTCCTACCGAATTCTTGTAAAACCAGAGGTGAGTTTGTCCTTCATTTGTGCTATTTACATTGAAATTTTGAGACTGTGTATATTGGGAAAACAAAGTCAAACTGTTGTACGGTAATTATTTTAAGATATCATTGGCTTCCTCAGGTAGTCTAAAGGAAAGAACAAGTAGACATAATTTTTAAAAAATCATCAAAACTTGTCAAAGTCGTTTGTATAGTGATTTATGGTTCCTTTATATAGATTCTCATAGTTGCTATTTGTTTTGCATGCTGTTAACATACTCCAACCTGGATTTAGAGACTGATACTTTGTATTTTCTTCAATTCATTTGCTTTGAAAAAAAAAGCATTACTTTGCTATACACTTTAAAAGGAAAATGAGTCATGATAATAACCAGGACTTTGGCATGTTTGCTCTCAGATGCTTCACCATAAATGCACAGTCACAAATGTCTAGACTTTTTAAGGAAAAATAATCCAGTCAGGGTTTTTTTAATTGTTTTCATTTTTTCTATGAATATGATTTCATAAACTTGCTTATTTTATGTTTATTACTTTCTAAGTTAAATAATATTGGCAAGTAAATCTATTAAATGCTAAATAAATGGGTGTATAAGGAAAAATTTAAATTAAGAATGGACCAAACTATTATTTTCTCCAGCCAGGAGCTGCCATGGGATGTACTGTCTTGTTTTGCAGTGTGCTTCTACTCTGTTTCTGACATAAATATATAAATGCATACTGATTTTAATTGTAAAGTATATACTTTATACACTTATGGCAGCCTCACATTAAAATTTTCCCTTTAATTGGTAAATTAATTTGATAGAAACAAAAATTAACTTTTCTTATAAATAATGTCAGCCAAGAGCAGGCTCTCTTCCAAAGAGATTGTTGGTATGCATCTTAACATCTCCATTTACAATGTGTGCTCACCTTCTCATTTGAACATCAGTGGCTAAATAAGTTAATTTCTAGGTATACATTCTTATCATATAAAACAGAAGTAAGAAAAAACCTGGTGAATGAAGCTTGAATCTAATTAATGACAAACTTCCTTTCACTATTCCCTTACCTTGTTTTTATTTAATTTGTTGGAAGTGTCGATTTGAATAAAAGTTGGCAAACTAAACACAGAAATCCATAAAACTGACAGTCACGAACTGTTCAACAAGGTTGTACTCCATCCCATGAGAAGGACCTTGTCAAATCAGTTGAAGGCTGAAAAGAAAACTTACTCTCATATGCATAGTGTTTGGATCCAACTGGACCCTCAACATGTCCTTCTGGATCTCCAGATGGGAGCTCCTACCTTGGAACAGGTCCAGAGTTCTGGATTCCTCTTTAGACATTCGACTAAATGGCCTCTATGATCACAGAAGCCAATGCCATACGTATATATGTGCACACATATATGTACATTTCATGTAATTAAATATTAAGTGTTGAAATAAATAAGCCTTGTTACAATAAATGTACAAAAGACATCAACCAATCAGTAATGAGATATAATAAGGTAATGTATTTCATCCTAAAAATAATTAATAAGTAATTCCATACCCATCTTATCTTCAATTGAAGACATTCAGCAAAGGTAAAAAAAATAAAAAAAAAATCACATCAAATTGGAGCATCTTTAAAACAGCCATGGTTATCCTTGTTAACATTATGAGAGCAAACAATTTCTTTCCAGTCAAACTGACTTTAGACTATTTAAAGAATCCCCAGACTATAGATTGTACCTGTCATCCCTGTTACTGAAATAAGTACAGTAAGCAGTCCTAAACCAGGACCCTTAACAGACATGTGGGTACCCGATTGAAGTTTTTTATTATATTGATGGGTTTTTGTTTGTTTGCTTCACAGAAAGCTGAAAATGTGTCACTAATGAAGAGGACGCTGCGGGTGAAGATTGTTATGGATAAAGCAATGGTAGGACTGACCTGTCTGTCTTCCTGAGGTCTTGGTTTTGTAGTGAGATTAAGTAAGGAAGTAAACTAACTTCCTTCCTTCCTTCCTTCCTTCCTTCCTTCCTTTCTTCCTTCCTTCCTTCCTCTCTCCCTCCCTTCTTCCCTCCCTCCCTCCCTCCCTCCCTCCCTCTCTCCCTCCCTCTCTTCCTTCCTTCCTTTCTTCCTTTTCATGCTATCATTGTTCTATGGGTGCAGTGTTTTGCCTGCATTGTGGAAGGCTGTGGACTATGTGCATGCAGTACTCTTAGCGTCCAGAAGAGGGAGGCAGATCCACTGGAACTGGAGTTGCACAAGGCTGTGAGGGACCCTGTGAATTTTGGGGTTTGAATTAAGGTCCTCTAGAAGGGCAAAGTGCTCTCAGCTGCTAAGCTATCTTTCCAGTCTGCATTTCACAGTTTTATACAAATGTTTTTTACTCTGTTCAAATGTCAGTCATGATGATATGTGCCAATAATCCCAGCACTTAGGACGGGAGGCAGAGAGGCTGAGTTTCCTACCACCCAGGGCTACCGTAGGAAGATCTTGTGTCAAAAGACAAACATTTCTTTCTCTGCTCAAAATAATGTGCCAAAGCCTTGCAGTGCATAACGACTTCTCATCAGTCGTCCTTGCACTGGCATGAGGGCATTATAGCAATGGCACATGACTTTGCATGAACAGGGTCTCCTACACCATCGCCCATCCTTAGCAGAGACTAGCAGATGCACCTCAATTTTTATTGAGACTAGATCTCATTTCCATTATACTGGAAGTAGTTCATTAAGTACTAAATTGGATTAAATTTTCCAAATATTTATTTCCTGAGCTTACTTTATGTGTCATAGCCAGCTGGCTTGTTGAGTGGAAGCTCCATGTTTTACGGATGAAATGGCGGTTTGCTAGCACTCCAGTTACTTTGCACTCTCCTCTCCAAACAGTGCTGCACACTTCCTTTCTTCCCCCACCGGGTTGACCTCATTTGGTGTCAGTACTGACTTTCTGTGTCCCCTCAACATCCTCTGGTTCCCAGCATCCAGCCCACGGTGCATTGAGTCACTTAGTCTCATGGTGTGAATCCATTCCACCACCCTCTGCCTCACCACACTGAAATCTCACTTAAACAGTCATTTCTGTTTTGCCTTAGTTAATGTTTACATGTACCATAGTCTACAGAATAAATGATTTAATTAATTCTCCAGTTTCTATTTTTCTTTTAATGAAAACACATTTTTCTTTTAATACAATTTGATTATAGTTTCTCCTTCCCCTTCTCCTCCAAGAGCCTCCCCAAATCCGCTCCTGTCCAAATCCACACCTTTTCAGTTTCTCCTAAGAAAACAAACAGGCATCTAAAGAATAATTACAAAATAAAATAAGATAAAACGAAGCCAAAAGAATCAGAATAAGACAAAATAGAAGTAATAAAAGATAGCAAAAACACATATAAAACACATATAGGTCCAGAAACACACAGGATAAAAATAAAGGAATTCCATAAAAACCTTAAACTGGAAGCCATAATATATCTGAAGGACTTGTGATGTTAAAAGAAAATAAAGAAATAATGCCCTGACATATATTATGAGATAGGGAACCTCTAAAGATGCCAATGAGTTCCTTTTGTATTGGCCATCTACTGCTGGGCACCGGGCCTGCCTGCCCTTAAGAGTGGTTTGTTTCCACAGTGAGACTTCCTTGTCAGAAACTAAGTTTTCATTTGCAAGCCATATCCATTGGAGACAGCTTTGGGGTTAGGGATGGGGACATGTGCCCACTTCTCCTTTTAGCATTGGGATCCCATCTGGTGCAGGTCTGTGCAGGCCCTGTGCATGCTGCCTCAATCTCTGTGAGGTCCCATGTGCACAGATCCTGCTGTGTTTAGAAGGCCTTGTTTCCTTGGTGTCTTCCATCCCCTCTGGCTCTGACACTCATTCTGCCTCCTCTAGCCCCAAGGGAAGAGATCAATGGGGCTATCCCATTTAGGATTGGGTATTTCCCTCCCAGCATTTGTCCATTTCTGGGTCTCTGTATTCATCCCCATCGGCTGCCATCAAACAGTATTACATATTTCGTATGAAGTAGTCTATGTCCGATTAAGCAACATTGCCAGGAGTTCATCGCTCACTTTCTCCTGAGCTTGTGGAAGAGTCTGCAGCTTTTGTTCATTTGAAATTGTCTTAGCCTTTCAGTTTTGATCATTTTAGCCTTTTAAACAGTTTTGGTTTGGGGGAAAAAATAGACCATTAAACTTTGAGAAAGTTGTAGCAAGAATACCTCACAGAGCAGCCTTGTTCTTGTCACTTGTGTCACCGTCAAGTAGTCTTCTGCTGTCATCTGTGCTGTCTCCATTTGAATTCGAAGGCAATTTTTCAGTTACATCACAGGGATTATGATGAACAACAGCACAGCAGCATTTCCTGACTCTGAGGATGAGCCCTCCATTGCCCTGCATTTACACAGCTGGTCTCAGTAAGACTGTGTTTTATACTTATGCATAGTCTGTCCTTGCTACTTACAAGTTTCTATGCCGGCATATTAAAGCTAACTTTTGCCTTGGTGTCTCAAATCTCTACTGTTAATTTTCTCGCTACTAAATATAACCATGTAAATTATAAATGTAATTAACACACAATCATAAACAATATTTGCAGACAGTATGATGACTATCATCTCCTTATATGAAGGTATACTCTGGTAGCTGTCCACTAGCCGGGACACACGGTGAGTTTCCTTAATTGCAAAGCCCTGATGATAGAGACGTGAGTGCGGTCACAGTGAGTCAGTGACTAGACTCCTTGATTTTGTCCTCATCAGTTATGTGCTCTGGAACTTTAACACATCCAATCTTAGTTTCTGTGCCCCTGAGGAGGAAGTTCCTCACAGCTATCCCTTCTAATAGTCTTAATCATTAAGACCCTGGGGTTTTGTGTAAAACACAGGATAGACAGTAACTAGGAAGTTTACAGGCACGGAGGATTAACTGACAACCAATTTTCACAAATTTTCACTTTGCCTCTTCAGTTGAATACTGCACTATTTTAACATCTGTATCTGAAACTATCAAAGAGTGATTGTTTGATCAGTTATATTGGTAATCGAGAAACAAACTTGTCTTTCAGTTTGACCATTTGGGCTCTGAGATGGGAGTTGCGGTTCAGAAAGTTGTTCATATGTTTGGTCTCATTAACACCGTGAGTACTTCTGCTGTCATTGAAGTAAGAGAATAACGCTAACCCACTGACAGGGTTTTTGTGAGTAGTTGTGTGGCTTTGTGAAATGTGTACTCCTCCCTGCACTTTGCCCCATGAGCTGGGTTGTCTCCTCATAGCAATCAGGTGAATGGAAGACCAGCATTCACAGACAGGGCAGGATGACTGGCCACTCACACTGAAGAGTGTCCTCTTTTCAGATGTTTTCCGAGCTGAAGATGACAGTGATGTTAACCTCTCTAGAGATCTGGTCAGATGAAAACAAGATTGAAACAAATGGGGATGCTGATGAAGTTCTGCAAAGGTTTCTGGTATGGAAACAAAATCAGCCATCTGAAAGAGTCAAGGTTATCATGTATTTACTCCTGTAAGTACTTTATCTACAACAATGGGGACTTGACTAATTGTTTAATGTCAGCTGTCAAAGTTGTGTTTCTGTAACTGTGCCAGCATAAGCAAAATGTAAAGATCTGACCATGTAGTCAATTGCAGTTCCCCCCCCTCCTAGACCCTATCACTCCATTCCACCTTGGCACTGAGGTGGGAGTATGAAAAGCAGCAGGGTGAATGTGGGCCTCTGTGTTTATAAAGACCTCACCAGGAAATGTTCATACCATGATGTTAATGCTATGAAAACAGTAATTACCCATTTTTCATGTTGCTGGTTTAAAAGGTAAATAACTGAACTGGACCAGTCACTTGCCTGCACCTATGGCTACTCCCAGTTTCTATAGTGACCTGAGATGTAGCTGTTAGCTACTTGCTGTGCATGCTTCAAGAGTCTTCATGTGGGCTTCAGCATTGCTCACTCAATTGGTTTGCATGGAAACAGGAGACATTCACTCCGGAAGATCTCAAGAGCTATAAAAGGACCATATGTCTTCTGTTGCCTCCTATTAGGTTCAAGGTCAGGCTTGGGTATTTGAAGGCAACACTAATGGCTAATTTCTGCATACTACCTCTTTTTTTTTCTTGGTGTACCTCTCTTTCTTTCTCCTTCACCTCTGGTCCAACACTGTATAAAGACTTGTCCAATATGTGAAAAGCTTGACAATAAGATAACACTGGCCTTTAGATTTTAGAGTCAATGTCCATCCAGTGATGGGGATCCTGTGGGACAGGTCATGGAAATACTATGTGTCTCTAGGTTTTGGATAGGGTGTCATAGAATCTTAAGCATCAAATTAACTTAAATTCCTATCAAATATGGAGGACATACTATTTGTGTTTTTACTAATTAATGAATGGTTGGTAGCATGAAGCATATGGCATGCTGAATACCATGTTTTAAAGATACAAAACTTCCAGAAAAACACTGTTTAAATGTCCTTTCTAGCAACATTTTGGAACAAGTGCACTGACATAAAATTTCACTTTAGGTATAAGGATTACCCTGATTATATGGGAGCAACATATCACGGGATGGCCTGCAACCCAAAGTTCACAGCAGGAATTGCTCTGGTATGCCTTCTGTTGTCCCTGTCCCTTGAAAGAAAAGACAAAGAATGCACTTGTATACTTTTGGCAAATTTTTATAATAGTACTTTTTTAGGCTTTTAATCTTATAACTTATAAAAGAGTTGGTCTGGTTGGGGGAAACACCCAGAATTTGTGATTTTAACCAGTTCTGTGGTGCTATTGTAAAATAAGTCTCAAGATATGTTCACCTTATTAAAAATGAGTCTTCATATCAATCAAGAAAACCACTCCTCTGTCCCAGGTGATGGCACTCCATGTTCTGCTTCTACTGTTAGAACAACTTTGGGGTCTACATGGAAGTGGGATGGTTCGGTATGTCTTTCTGGGACACTGTTATTGCAAGCAGTGCAATTTACTTAAAGTTCTACCTATCCCATAATGCATGCAAGATTTCCTTTTTAATGACTGAATTAATATATCTATTCTATCAACAGATCTTTCCTTTATTCCCCTGCCCTTGTTCTTTGCCATACTTCAATGCACACGATAGAGCAGATACCTCTTTGAAGTCCCAATATGAGTCAGTCTAGGTGTCTGCCCAGAGGTCAGCTTGCTGAATTATGTATCGGTCTTGTTATTAATATTTTTGGGACTATAATATTGACCTTGAAAGAGGCTATACCAGTCTATAATCCTTTTGCCAACATATAATTAGCTGCATAGTCAATCAAACTTACTTTATTTTGTTTTAGTTAATAGAGACAGTCTAATGTTCATGATGTTACATCTTCTCATTGTTTTATATTTGTTTCTGACATCTCAAACATGCAATACCACTTCATTTACTTGATAGACTTTGGCACATATTACCAGAGAAATAGCTATTCAAGCATTTGACTTATTTTTTTTAAGTGGTTTCATGCTTTGTTGTTGGGTTGTGGGCATTCTCTACATTATGGATATTAGCCCTTTTTCAGACATGCAGTCTCTAAATGTTTCTTTTATTCTATTCCTGTGTGTGTTTGTCCTTGCTTTGGTTCATGACAATGAAACAGGTATGTTTAAGACAGTGGCAGGATTTTCTTTGCTCATTCTCACCTTTGCTCCCATCCTTCTGGGATATGATGGTGACAACATCCTGAATCTTCCCCATTATCTTCTCTTTTATAGTTGTGAATTTCTCACTTAGGTCTTGAATTTTTTTTTTTTAGCTAGTTTTTAGATATAGCAAATATAAAAATCTAAGTGAATGTTCTTTTTCATGTGGCTGTTCTGATTTTAATCCACTCTGCCAACCTACACATTTATTGGGGGATTATTAATTCATTTTGTATTCAAAATAGTTTGTGGTAGGGAAAGATTTCATGCTGCCATTTTTGCTATCATATAGATTATTTTCCTGTCTTCCTTAGAATCTATACAATATAGATTCTAGATGTTTTTACCCTTCCTGTCCTCAATCACTGTCTTGTATGTGTTATTAACTTTTGGGTGATCTTCTTTGATTCTCTTTCATTACACATATATTTCATAGATTTTGTTGTTTACCATTGCATTTGGCCAAAATATTAAATTTAAGTCAGTTATCAGTAAAATTTTATTTAAATTAAAAAAGTTTCCTCAGACAATTTCTAAAGTAAAAATTGATTGCCAATTAACACTTTCATGATCTAAATTTTTCCTAATTATCATCTCAAAAAATAGTCATTAAGATTATTCTGCTTCCCGGGATGTTTTTATACTTTTTTGAATTCTATACAATAATATGCCATAAATGTAAGTTTTTATGCAGCAACTTTATTTTTCCTATATGTCAGCTCCATTTGGACTAAAAGATTACTGCTTAAAAAGGAATATCACAATTTGCTCATTTTCTTTTGCATTTACATTCTTAAGAGTTTTGCTAGTCTATTTTCTTGACTTTGCATTGTCGTTTAGGAACCATTGCCAAATAAAGCCTGACAAAGCAAACAGGAAGAAGCAGGAGGATTGCAGGAGGAGGAGCAGGAGGACTGACACACTAATTCTGTTCCTTTTATCTGCCTAGCACCCAAAGACCTT